TGGCCCCAAAAGCGCCCCGAAGGCTCCCCAGAGCGCCTCAAGAGGGTCCCAAGAGGCGCCCAAGATGCCCCAAGGCGCCCAAAAAGCCCTCCAAGAGGCCCTCAAAAGACCCCCAAGAAGCTCCTTCCCCTCCTCCTCCTCCTCCTCCGATTCTTCCTCCTTCTCCGTCCTCCTCCTCCTCCTCCTCCTCCTCCTCCCTCCTCCTCCTCCTCCTCCTCCTCCTCCGACGACGACGACGACGACTCCTCTTCCATCCTCCCCCTCTCGGGGTCTGTGACAGCTTCCCCCGCCCTTTGTTATTCTGCATGCTCCCCGACTTCCCTGATCACCTCAACTCCCCTGAGCATCGTTTCTGGATGGGCTGGTGGGGATACGCGAAGCGTCAACAATTCACACAAAGGGTTTTGGCACCACCAACGGTGCAACGCATGTGCACACATGCCACAGGATCCCCACCGATCCGAACCAGGGTTGATGCACGGCCGTGCTCTAGGATGCAGTTGACATGTATGGCGTGGCAAGGCTGTCGGCGGCGACAAGATCCTAATATCCGCTACCAACAAACATCCCATGGTGGTTTGGCACAACCAAACCACCGTGCAACGTCAGTTTGTTCATCCGTTGACAGCAGCACGCGTCGCGGCAGCAGAACGCAGTAGCGCGCGCGGGCATGCCGGGCCGGCGATGTGGCTGGCCAGCTGCCAGCGCGAATTCGGCAGAAGAGCCGAACTCCACGTAGGATCGTCTTGGGCGTGGTATCCGGCGCAGCTGCGTCGCACTGCCAAGCGCCGCGGCCGTGCGATTGCAGCGCCAGGCCCCGTGCGCTCTTCGAGGCGGGAAAGCAAGCTCTACACAAAGGAATCGCGCGTGCTCTTGTGGGGGCGGCGAAAACGATCGCACACAAAGGAAATTCCTTTGTGTGCCCCCCGCGTTGGCAGTGTAACCAGACCGTACAGAAAGGAATTACGCGAGACTTCGTGGCACACAAAGGAATTACAGCAACGCCCTTTGGGTTACGCTCTTCGCGCGCGGTGACAGCTCCGAACTGGAAGAGAAGGGGGGGCGGGACAAGGCAAAGCAGGGGAAGAGGAAAACGAAGAGGAGGGCGAGAAAGAAGCGAAGGAAGCAACGGAAGGAAACCATGATGCGCGCAAGCGAAGCTAACGCTGCGCGCCGAGACAGTTGTTCGTTCGTTCGGTTGGCCGCGCGGCAGATGAATAGGAAAATAATTGTTTGCTGCATATCGAAGAGACTTCTTGGGAATGAAACTCGCGCTCTCTTCCCAACCCCCTTTCCCACGCCCCGTTGCGTGCGCGCGACGATTTGTTCTGGCCCGCGGGCAGAGGACTGCCAGTTGCTGGTGAGCGGCCTTTCCACCCGTCACCTGTTCCGAACAAGTGCGACCAGCTAAACGCGCTTGCCACGCAAACCGCCAGCTCCAAACACCGACGCCACCCCGATCCCCGCATCCGTGCCAGGCACCCTCTCAACGACGCCCCATTCCAGCGTAGAACCAATAAAACCCTTTGTGTGTGGTTGTGTTTTTTCCTGTTCTGAGCTGCATCGCACCAAGTGCCCAAATGCTGGCTGGCGTCCGCTTGGAGGACGCCTAGGGAAACTGTGGAGCGAGGGGTGAGGACAGAAAACTTGGTAGGAACGTCAACGGCGCGGGACGTGCTCAAATCCAGGTCCGGCGGGCTGCCAAGACACGCAACTGTAGCCAGCACTTCGGAGTACTACGGAGTACTTGTTGGAGGGATGATTGGTTGCAAAATGCGGTGGACAATCTCACGCCACGCGGAGTCTTCGTGGAACAATCCACGGCCTGTCGCTGCTTCTACGCCTTGCCAAGTTTAAACTGGGATCAGCAGCTACTGAGGCACGCATTGAAGAACATGCGTAATCCGCCCATGAAGCAGTGTATGCACCATAATCGCGCTCTGGCTGCACCAGAATGCACCATGACGTATTCAACACAGTGGTCCTGGTTTCGGTTTCGACCGCAAAGAGCATAGCGCCCCCAGCGCGAGGAGGATATGAATGAGCGCGGGAGGGCGAGGGTACGTTGCGCGCTACATCCCCCCCATCCACCTCAGCCTCGCCAGGTACCCTGGTAACTCCCGAAGGCGGCACGAAGCAAACTCGGCCTCCTCGCAGAACGCCGTGACCTCCCCTGTCACTGTCCCTCCCCTGCACGACGCATGGCCGGTGTTTCTCCTATTCCTCGTTCCGCTCTTGATTACCTTACTCACTTTCTCAGGCTGTCTGCAACTGCAGGGGAGTCGCCTGCGGGATCGCTTAATCCTCAGTATGAAAAGCACTTGCTCAAGAAAACGCCCTCTCAACCTCACGTGTGTTACACTTAAACGGCAGCATGGTGATGACGGGACCGGAAAAGGGCACTACGAATTGCGAGCAACACTGGCACATGAAGAATGATAATGTCTTTGTTCTTTGTTCTCAACGCACTTTTCTCCGATTCAGGAGCCAGAAGCTCTGGAACCTTGACGCATACGAACATCGGCGGATGATGTCTACCAAAACCTTCAACATCTGCGATAACCCCTTGAGCACAATCGCTGAGCAAGGATAATGATTGATCGCGCGCCTCCTGTATCAAGGTGTGTGTGTGTGTGTCGTTCGACGCTCGTACCCATTTTTTCTGGGGAGGGCAGACAGGTACCGATACCGCTACTCCCTGGACCTATCCACAGGGGTGCGTTCTGACCAGAATTTCAAAGCCAAGCCAGCCGTGCGACGAGGGAAGGGCGTCTGTATCGGTCGATGTGCTTCTTCTGAGTCTTGGGTTGAGACTCAATATGTCTAGAGTTGTCCTCCCTCCTCCTCCTCCTCCTCCTCCTCCTTCTTCCTGCTCGCTCCTCCATCCCCCGCTTGCTCCCAATCCTCCCTCATGCTTCCCCCCTCCTGCCCAATTTCCCTCCATCCCTCGACTGGTTTGACCCGACCCCGCCGTCCGACAGCCCTGGCCCTACCGTGCCGCTCGAGTAAGAGCCTGCGGGCACGATCCGATCGCCCAGCGAGGGTTCGCCCACCCGCCCCGTCCCCCCGAGGAGAAAGAATCACCGCCAGACCCTCAGAGCGGGGACGCTCGACGCCGAAGGGTAGGTAACCAGATGTGCACCTTCAACCTTGCAGATCAGATTCCTGAAAAACTGACCGGGCTTCAGAATTTGAAGGATGTCTGCAGCCAATTGAAAACCAACGGGGGTGTCCGATACCCCAGCGCCGACTTGACCCGCAGGGGTAGGGTTTGACAGCGGCCGCAGGAGAAGGGGGCGGTTGTCGAGGGCTCGGGGTACACGAGAGCAGGGAACAACGAACGGTCTTCAACACTGTGGTTGTTGTTGTCGGGAGCCGATTTTGTCGGACACCCGAGACGTGCCTGGTCGAGCGCAGCGTTCAAAAAACATGTAGCTGGCACCCAAGGGGGCCGCGAAGGCGGGCTAGGGAGTTAGGTTACCAAGGCTGCGGTAGGCAGAGGAGAATAGCGAACGCCGCACGACCTACATGGTAAAACAGTTGGCTGTGCCTGCCGATCGCGTTCTTCACTTGGACGTGGGTTAGAGTCAAGCGCTAACTCCCATACGCTCGGCGCAGAGGCGAGCGGGGACCGAACGAGGGCCCGAAAAGACAACGAGCGAAGGCCACAGAAGACAGACGGCGGAGGGACAACGGCGGAGCGAAGAACCGAGGCCAAAAGCACCAAGGGATAACAGCGAACAAGCGATAAGTAGCAAGAGGCATTGACGATATGAATGCAGCAAACAGGTGCAGCCTCTGTAGTAAGGATGCATGAGCCCTGCCACGGCATACGACGCTACCCCTCAAGAACGGCATGACCCCAGCCGAGAACTCGGTTTCTGTTTCGACTTGTGCCCTTCGTGCTGGCGAGGCGGAACTGCATGGGGCAACGATGTATCGGGCCGAAGTCCGGGCCAAATCGGGCAAAAACTTCCCCGCGTGCGTCGCGGGGGCCGAACAAATCTGAATTGTCCCAAGATTGTCCTACGTGTCGTCCCGTGCTTGCCCCGTGGGTTTTTCTGTAATCGTCCTGTGCGTCGTCCCGTGGGTAATCCCGTGGGGTGTGTTATGAAATGCTTCGAAATTGCCCTGTGCGTCGTCCCTTGGGTTATCCTGTGGGGTGTCCTGTGGTTGTCCCGTTGTTGTCCCGTGGGGTGTCCTGAAATAGTCCAATGGGTGTCCAATGGTTGTCCTGTGTAGTTCCTGTGGGTTATCCCGTGTGGTGTCCTGTGGTTGTCCCGTGGTTGTCCCGTGAAATTCCCGTGGTTGCCCCGTGGGTTGTCCCGTGAATGTCCCGGGATTGTCCCGTGGTTATCTCATGGACTGTCCACTTTGGTTTTCCCATGCGTTGACCCGTGGGTTATCCCGTGGGTTGTCCCATGGGTTCTCCGTCCTGTGGGTTGTCCTATGGGCTGTCCTGCGGATTGTCCGCTAATCTTGCCGTGGGGTGTACCGCGGTTGTTCCGTTGGCAGCCCCGTGGGATAGGCACATCGGAATTCGAACCCATTTGAAAACGATCTGCAAATCAGAATGCGTATCGACGTGCCAACTTCAATGCAACAGTAGAACTAAATTCGGAATGAAACGGATTCTGAGCCAAAAGCTCCATCTGGCATGAACGTCGGAATGGCTACTGACATCACACATCCAACTACGACCAATGTGACATGCGCAATGAACATGGATGCTCAAACCATATTCTAGACACCAGCATCATGTGGACTTCAAATCAACGTCCGTCATCAACATGTGAATCGACCTGCCCATCGACATGCAAGTCGAACTGTACTTATACATGGCGTCGAACCACACATCATGATACACATCATCGGAACGCACACGCACGCACACACGCACACTATTCGATATGCAAATCAACATGCATTTCAATTTGCAAGCAAGCACTGCAAAACACGTGCATTCTGAGTTTAGAATCGGAATTCGCATCAACCTGAAAGCCATTTTGTCCATCATCTTCAATATCGAGGTGTACATCGAACATGCACATCGGGATTCAAATCATGATGCATGCCAGCACGCACCTCAAACGTCACATCGAACTGTAATTCGCAATGCAAGCTCAAGTCGGCATGGAAATGCGTGCACGCGTGAATACAAAATCCAAGTGTGTGAAGGGTTCGTTGGAGGATCCTTCCCTCGGCTTCAAACTCGTTGTCGGCCAATTCACTTGGTCCGCTGTCCGCCAAGCCGCGCGCCCCCAGAAAAATATGTGTAACATCCTGCATACTCCTGCACATGCTTTCCGATCACAGTGGCCTCCGACTTCAGAGCCGACAACCTCTCGAAGGAAGCTTCCCGAATATGCCTTGCGGGGGCAGGCAACTCTATATCCCTCAACCGCACTGGAAAAGAATTCTGCCAATGCTACTACAGTGCCGCGCTGCGCCGTCCTCCAAAAGTAGGGGCTGGACGCCTGCGCACCCGGCAAGTCCCACCGATGGCCCTTCCCCTCTTCTCCTCATTCCTTATGCTCCTCCTCCTCCTCCTCTGCATGGCACGGGCACTGGCAACCGTAATTCGGCAAGCGGCTTGAAAGGTGTTATACGAGGCCCTACCATTATTCTAGGGTGGTGGCCCTTGCTTCCCTTCGGCCCAGGAAGACGCCTTGGCACAATGAGCTACTCAGGTATGGAGTGCAAACAGTCAGTCAACTCATGGTACCCTGAGCACGATGCAACACCATCACCTTAAAGATACGGGACTTTGCAGAACTCCTCCCGGAGTCTAGACAAGTTGATCTTTCAGGGGGAGACAGCCTTCACTCCCGCCAATCCTCCGCGGGCTTCTGTCAACGGACTCGCCCTCGTCTGCATCCGCCAGCTTGGCTTGCGCTGGCTTCTGCCGAGGGCGAGGATTCAGCTTCCCGATGACTCGAAGGCGAGACCCTCTCTGGAGCGCCCTGCATGCTCCACACCAACACGTGCAGCAGAAGAAACAGTGGGAAGTCACTCGCACGCGCCAAGAGGCTGCAAACACCAATCGTGGGGTCAGTTCCGGGAGTGCTCGCGAGAGGCGACCTGCACGGAGAGCACGATTAAGTGCAACAGAACAGAAGCGGGTGAGAACAAGGGATGCACCGCCAGCGGACTTAGCGTATGCTCTCTCAACGAAAGGATTTGGGCGTCAACTCGCTCTTCAAGGCCTCCGTCCGAATCGGGAAACCAAGGCGGCAGAAACATGAACTTTCGCGGATCGGCGCTGGGCCCCTGCCTGGCTCGCCTCTGGCGTCAGGGTTGGCGCCCAGAGGCGCCGCCAGGAGGGTCCAGCGCAGATCCGAGAAATGGGCGCGGACCTCCGACATGCTTCTGTCACTGCAACTTCTTGCTCCGTGCAGAGTTGACAACCTCCAGCTGGTTGCGGGCTGACGCCATCCCGCCCAGGGCCCCGGACTTCCGACGACTCGTTCGCCTGGAGCCGCCGCCCTCCGGATCCTCGGCCCCTCCCCAGGTAACCGGCTGCTCACCCCGATCGCGTCGTCTTCTGAACAATCCCTGGGCCCGGAACCGGATCCCATACGCATTGCAAACATGCAAATTGCACGCCTCCAGCGCCACCTCCTCGGAAGCCGCCGCATCTCCTGGGGATAATGTGCCGCTTATGATCAGGGCTGGCGCGGAGTTCCAGGAAAAATCGACCCCCGCGCCGAATGACGAACGAGGGGGCTATGGGTATGTGTTGCCGAACGGGGTCCCCGCTCGAACGGGAGCCTCCCCCCCGGTCCGACAACCCGCACCCATACCCATAGACAGTCCTCCTCCCACCGATCCCCCCTATGGGTATGGGGGTGTTTTGTGTATTGTTCGTTCGTCACCGAAGGGGTCGCGCGGCGACAGGCCACCGCCCCCCCGAGTGGGAGACCACCGCCGCCCGCTTCGTACCAGGAGCAATCAGCACGGTGGGGGCGACGGAGACGAGCTCGTCGCTGCCGTACCAACCGCATTGCTCAGGGTTCCTGAAGTCCTCCTTCCCCTCCTCCTCCTCCTCCTCCTCCTCCTCCTCCTCCTCCCTCCTCCTCCTCCTCCTCCCTCCCTCCTTCCTCCCCCTCCCCCTCCTCCTCCTCCTCCCTCCTCCTCCTCCTCCTCCTCCTCCTCCTCCTCCTCCTCTTTTCCTCCTCCTCGTCATCGTTTTCCTTCTCGTTCTCCTCGTTCTCCTCGTTCTCCTCGTTCTCCTCGTTCTCCTCCTCCTCCTCCTCCTCCTCCTCCTCCTTCTCTTCATCCTCTTCAGTCTCCTCCCCTTGTCGTCATCACTCATCTCATATTGCACCAACTCAGCATTTCCATCCTCCTTCCTCCACCTCCTGATACTCCTCCTCCTCCTCACCCCACATGGTGCCCACATAGGGTTTGCAGATCACCTGGCGCAGACTGGCGCCCTCTCATTCCACCTCCTCCGAACCCTATGCCAACCATCCTCCTCCCCCGTTTCCTCCTGCGCCTCCTTGACCTCGACGTTCCGCAACAGACCGTGTCCGCCCTGTCCCCCATCGTCTTTCTTGTATTCATCCTCCTCCTGCTGCTCCGCCGCTGTCCCAAGAGGGCGTCATGACGGCCAAAGAAAGATCCCCCTGGCCCAAATCAGAAAAGATGGCCCAATGTAGAACTCCAAGACGCTTCCAGCGATCATCCCGGCAGTCCCCAAGCTAAACTCTCGAGATGCCCCAAGAAACAGAAAACACATATGAAGCTCGCACTTTCGGTTTCAGACAGGCCTCGGAACGTTGAAGACGGACCCGAGCCAGCCCGAGTGGGCCCAGCGGGGACTTCAAACTCGATTAGAGGGGAGTGGCCCGGGGGAGGGGGGGGCGGGCTCCTAAACGCTCCCCCAGGGCTTCCAGCGCCTCCATTTCTACACTCCGTGGCTTCCAGGATGTCCAAAATTCCAACCAAGACGGCCTCAGGACGGTCCTAGAAGCCTCCAAGGCGCCCCCAGAGAGCTCCAAAAGGACCCCCAGAAGGGCCCCAAGAGGCCAACATCGCCCCGATCCCAGAAATGAACGCGTACATATTTAGCAGATTCACCATTTTGTTGGTTTCAACAGCGTCTAAAGCGGCCCAAGAGGCCATCAATATCGTCCAAGGACGGCCCAAGAGGCCCATAGGAGGGCCCGAAGACGGCCCAAGGGAGCCCCGAGAGGCTCCCAAGACAATCCAGGAGGGCACCCAAAAAGATTCAAGAGTGGACCAAGTGGTGGAACTCGAACTGTCATGTCGAGCCCTCCGCCCCAAAGATGACCCCAAAGACCACCAGCAGACTCCAAACAGACCCCCAAGAGGCTCCAAGAGGTCCGCAAGATGCCCCAACAGGTCCCCCAACCAGTAACCAAGAGGCAAAAACCTCACGCGATGAGTTCGGTTATCATCTGGGGGGCCTGCGGAATGACGCAATCCCATTGAATAGTGGGAACACTCACGCGACGAACTGGTGCGCACACCTAGCTGACCGACACGTGTTCGACATGAAATAGGGTCGTTCGTTCGCGCGAGTGAACACACTCCCTGCGATGTGCGTGCGCACGTGAGAGGGGGGATACCTCTCCTCCATATCCACCTCCGCCCTCTCCTCCTCCCTCGCCCCCCGCCTCAGGCTCTGCTTCAGCGACCGCAGGAAGCTCTCGTCCGAACACCTCAGGGTGAAGCACAGGAAGTGCAGCGCGGATATCTTGCCTTGCAGGGGCCAGAGCGTCCGAGAAGCACATACGGCCGGGAACTTTTGCTCAACATGTCGCGGCAGCGGCTGCGGCCCCTGCGACACGATACATCCTTTAAGCGGACAACGTGCCGCTCCGCCCCGCGCGCTGGGAGGCTGGGAAAAGCTCGGGACGTTGACGATTCGGGACGAGGAAGCGGACAGCGTGTCGCGCCGAGGCATGGTGGGCCAGAACCGGCGACGCGACACGCTGAGCAAACACTCCCGACCGAGGAGAAGGAGGAGGAGGAGGAGGAGGAGGAGGAGGAGGAGGAGGAGGAGGAGGAGGAGGAGGAGGAGGAGGTTCACTGCCTAAAGAGGGAAACGTCAACGGGAGAGAGGGAGAGAGAGAGAGAGAGAGACAAAAAAACAAAAAACAAAAAAAGGACAGGGGTCTCCATCCGAGGAGGACTGCACGTTCCCCACACGAGGGGCGACACCTCGTCCGGGGCCCACCGACAAGAGACCCCCAACAAAAACATAATTTAGCCGAGCCCCTTTTTCATCGGCTGCAGAATAACGCGCCCGTCGGATTTCCGCTTCATATCGGGCCCCCTACGACCCTGGAGTCCAAGGCCTCAGCCAGCGCATGCTCCTCGAAACCGAAGGCTCTCAGGCAAGCTTGAATGTCGAGGCGTGGGGCAACAAAACGCCGCGAAAAAGGTGGCAGACGGCCTGGGCAGCTCCCCCGACCTTCAGTTTCGATCCCAATGTGTGCCGACCAACGTTTGCGACTGGCATCTGACAGCCAATGAAGGGTCCTGAAGGCGGATCCTATGACGCAAGCGCTTCCGAACCGTGTAGAACACCCCCCCCTTGAGCCTCTGTAGCCTCGACAAGGCTTGCAGAGGCCATTCAGCTTAGTGCCCACCGCACAATGATAGCAGGTCGTGCAAAACAGGGGAGGGCCTTTGACTGGCCCCCAAGCTTCCACAACCGAGCGGCCCGCACGAGCCACAGGCCTGAGCTCCCCGAATCCCAGACCTTCATCCTCAAGAACCTCGGCATCGCCGACGTCTTCAGCCTCCTGGTTACCCTCGGTCCCAAACCCCCACCCGACTGGGCAGCAGCAGCAGCAGCGGCAGGTGGGGGGGGTCGGCAGGAGGAGGGGGCGGAGGGGCGAGGGGTGGAGGTGGGGCGTCGGCGTGGATTCGGTGGGCGTCGTCGATCTGGGAGGGGTCGCAACTGCCACCAAGCGTGCCGCAATCGATCCATTTGATGACATCGAGCCCCTGATGGTCCTGCAAGTCTAGGTCGACCATCCTGGAGGCGAACCTGTCACTGAACTTCGCCGCCTGGGATGCGACTTCCAGGCCAACCTTCCAGAACGAGCACGTCGCCCTCCAACGCAGCTCCGAAACCGCCCCTAGCTTCGCACAGTGATCGGCCATCTGGTTACCGTCGAGCTCATACTGCGACAGCAGCCCGTCTCGCACCTGACGCACAGCGCAACGACTCCTCACTTACGAGAAACGCCTCTGTCCGAAGCCCCCTGTCGCGCGCACTCGGCGCCGCGCGCGGGCGCGGGGGTTGTCCGCTGAGGCGGCCTTCAGCTGGCCAGCGCAGCAAGACAGGGCGGCTGTGCAATCCGAAAACAAAAAACTGTAAGCACCGAGAGCGTGCCGAGCAAACGTCCCCATCGCAAAGTCCTCGCCGTCGTGAGCCGAGAACGAGGTCGAGAACTCTGGAGGAACCGCGCCGCTGGTCGCACCCAGAAAACTCG